ACTACGAAGTAGAGACTACTAGCGACAGGTTCAAGGTTCAAGCCCAATAAACCTCAAAAACAGTCACACACTACAAACACACTACAAGTCACGGGCTCGAATCCCGGAAAGCACAAAACAGGCAACAACAAAATGAGTGTACAGCCCGCATCTCCCTGCAATTCATTGCATTCCTACCCTCCCGGGGAGCGAGGACCCCGAGCTAGGAGTGTCCACGAGGAGAACGTTTGAGAGGTTGCCTCTTCTGTTCAGCCTCATAGGCGTGTACAACTGAATTTGCAGACTTGAGAAGTTCCTTCCTTGGGAACCATCGGTCCTCTGTGTGAGGTTGGAAAAGGAACTTCACAAGGTATTTACAGTTGGGGCCTGTGCCCCACTGATCTTCGATGCTCTCAACTTCGTATCCCTTTCCAGGGATTGGGGGTCCAAACTGCGGGCGCCTATCAGGGAATGCATCAGCAGACGTGAAAGGCAGCAGTTTTGAGGCATGGAAGACCGTATAGATCTTGATATGAGGCGGTACAGCAAGCACATAGGAAGGTCCAAATGGATCTGCCCCCACCGTATCAAGTACCTGCCATGGGCCATATAGTAGACATGCAACAACTTTCTTGAAATATCCTGCTCATCAGTTAGTTCAGATCTTTTCACCCAGACCCAGTGACCTGGCCGAATAGTAGAGGGAGAGCGATGCTTATTAGCCTGTTCCATCATCCTCTTCTGGGCCTTGAACATGTTAGTTCTAGCTTTCTCTAGGTCTTTCTCATAACTCTTGGTGAACTCGGTCGTGCTAGGAGTTAGTTTAGGCTTAGACTTGTCGATCAGATCATCCAGAGGTTGTCTGGGGTCTCTTGCAAAGTGTAGCCTGTAGGGTGTAAAGCCTGTAGTGCTGTGAACAGATGTATTATACATTAGTTGCGCCCGTGACAGATGTCTGTCCCAGTCGTGCTGATCAGGCGTGATCATAGGGCGCAGCAACTGAAACAAGACCTGGTTCATCACTTCAGCCTGTCCATTGGCTTCCGAATGTCTCCCAGAGGTCATGTCTAGTCTAGAATGTAGGTAGTCCTTACAGAAGGACTGCCAATCATCGCTGCAAAATCTGGGATCTCTGTCGCTGACAATGGAGGTTCGGCACCCATGGACATTTACCCACCTCTCACAAAAGAGCTCTCTGACCAGAGGTACTCTGGCCTCAGCAAGTAAGGGGATAAACTCAGCATACTTAGAGAATCGATCAACACAAACCATTACCTGTCTCATCCTACGTGGCGTAGTCTTGCCCAGGTCTGTGAAGTCAATGGACACTGACTCACCTGGACCATCAGGGATAGGTAGAGGTTTGAGTAGTCCCATAGGAGGCCGCCTGTGAACCTTATTCCTTTGGCACAACTCGCAGGTCTCCAAGTAATGCAGGATATCGTCCTTCATCTTAGACCAATAGAAGCGTTGGGTCAGGGCAGCATACGTCTTTAAGAACCCAAAGTGTCCGCGAGCATCATGACTCTCTGAGATCAGATGATTAATGATCTTGCGATCATTAGAGATGCACAAACGCTCTTCCCCCTCGCTGATTGTGTACAGCAAGCCAGAAGTCAAGGCATAGCCTGACTTGGAATTGGGGTCAGCCTGTAGATTCCTAAGAATAGGGCCAAAGACTGGGTCCTGAGGCAACGCATCAGCGATGGCCTGTCTGGTGGAATCAGCAAAGGAGTAATGGAATCAGCAAAGGAGTAAGTGTCAACAATGGCAGCAAATGAATCACGTCTACGTGACAACGCATCAGCAACCCTGTTATAGCATCCCTTCTTGTGCTTCAGTTCAAAGTCAAATCCGTCAATGAACTGAATGTACCTTCCCAGTTTATCATTTAACTCACCTTAGGTCTTCATCCACTGCAGAGTGGAGTGATCAGAAAAGATTTTAAAATGTCTCCCAAGTAAGAAATGCTTCCACTGTTTGAGGGCACAAACGAGAGCATACAGTTCCTTTTCATAAGTAGACGCCTGAATTCTTTGCACCTTTATTTTCTTACTCATGAACTCCACCGGCTTCAGACCAGTCCCATCATCTTGCTGAAGCACTGCACCAACGCCATATTGACTTGCATCTGTGGTCAGCACAAATGGCAAGGTAGGGTCAGGCAATTTCAGCACAGGTGCTTGGGTGAGTGTTTTCTTCAATCTGGAGAAAGCTAACTGACAAGTGGCTGTCCACCTGAAGGGAACATCCTTAGCTAGCAGATTTGTCAGGGGTGTAGCAATAGAGGAAAAGTTTCTGATAAACTTCCTATAGTAAGAGGCTAACCCCATGAAAGATCTGATGTCCCTCACAGTTTGTGGTTGTGGCCATTCCCTGATAGCAGCCACTTTAGAGGCATCAGGGGATAAACCATCTGCAGAAATCACATGACCTAAGTATAAAACAGAGGAAACACCAAATGATGATTTCTCTTTGTTCAGTTTATACTTATGTTCTCTCAGGACCTGCAGAACTTTCCTGAGGTGGTCTACATGTTCCTTGGCATCTTTGCTGAAAACCAGAATGTCATCCAGGTACACAACAATAAAGCGGTCAAGAAAGGGTCTGAAAATCCTATTCATTTCAGTTTGGAATGTCCCTGGTGCATTACACAAACCAAAAGGCATGACCAGGAACTCATAGGTGTCATACCGCGTCTTGAAGGTTGTCTTGTGCACATCCTCTTCAGCCATTTCGATCTGATGATACCCGGATTTCAGATCAATTTTGCTGAAGACTTTGCAGCCCTGCACCATGTCCAGCAAGTCATCGATCCTAGGCAAGGGCTCAAAGCTCTTCCTAGTGATCTTGTTTAGGCCCCTATAGTCAATGCACATCCTGAGTTCACCATTTCCCTTTGGAACAAAGAGAACTGGTGCCCCATACTCAGATGAGTTGGGCCTGATCCATCCCTTCTCTGTCAAGGACTCTAGCTGTTTCCTCAACTCATCCAGTTCAGCAGGTGACATCCTATAGACTCTTCCCTTAGGAGGGGTAAAGTCAGGCAAAATCTGAATATGATGCTTGGTCTGCCTATGGACTAGTCCAGTAGGCTCCTGAGCCAAATCAGAAAACTCATCAACCACCCGTTGAATTGGAAAGATCAATTTGAGAAGGGGAGGAATCTGAATCTGTTTGAGTGACATAAGCCACAAACAGATTCTCATGGTCAGTTTCCTTAGACAAGTTGTAAAACTCTCTGGCTTTCAGGCAGTAACAGTTTGTCTTAGGATGATGGTCAGTAGCTAAGACACATTGTCTTAGCTTACCCTGGGAATTCTTCAATTGAATATTGGGCAGGGCCCAGTCAATTGAAGGGTTAGTAGCCCTTAACCACTTTAGACTTAGGACTAGATCAAAGGGAAGATGGGGAAAAACATAGAAATTCAGGGAATGTCTGATTTCCCCTTTGTCATGAAAGATGACTGACACTCCTTTGATGACTTGCTTGACTGAGACAGATTGGGAATTCCCTACCTGTATCTCCAAAGGGTGCTCAAGGTCAGTAACCTTGAGACCCAAGTGGAGTCTCTGAACTCCATTCTGCGAGATGAAGTTCCTTGTGGCCCCACAGTCAAGCAAGGCTTTGATCCTGGTTCTGTTAATTTGAGGCTTGAGCATGATCAGTTCTGATCTCTTCTTCCTCTTCTCCTTTAATTGGCGATGAAGGGAACAGAGCTGATCAAGCTCCTCCTCAGATGAGGGCTCATCCACAAAGGGCTCAATATAAGAGTATACTGAGTCCCGTGCAGCCTCAGAAAAATCAGGCTCCACAACTGATTTATCTCCTAAAGGAGATGGATCCAGTTCAGCAGGGCTGGTTGCAGCCTCTGCTGGCCTGCTCAGTTTTTGAGTGGTTGCAGTTGCTATGGTTCAGTCTACGGCAATCCTTGACATAGTGATTGCCCTCACACCTCAGACCGACCCCCCTGTCCTTCCTCTTTTGCCATACGCCCTCTGGGATTTCCAGGTCCCTCCAAGGAAAAGAGGAAGCGTCCATGGGACTGGCTGGGCACTTGGCAAACTTTGGGAGGTTCTGCTGTTGGGGACCATTGGGGCGTTTGCCTGACCCCTTAGGAGAGGAGGGCTTTTGTCCCTGGAACTGCTTGCCTCCAGTGAGGGCTRGCAGTGCCTGGRCCARCAATTGAGCAGCCTGGTCTGCTGATGCTCCTGCACCCTGGCCAGCTGGGGGAGTAGATCCCCCCTGGCTAGTGCCTGCAGAGTCATCATCAGACTCCATGGCGTACAAGTTCCCCTTTCCCTTCCTCCTACTCTGGGAAGAGGGGTTGCCTCCCTTCTGGGGAGTGGACTGAACGTGGAGTGTTGCCTCCATGTCCAAGGCTGCTCGGCCAAAAGATCGCCAATCCTTGTGTCCTGCAAAGTACAGGGCCGTGGTATATTTCTCAGGAGCTGCCCTGATGAACCAGGTCAGTTGGTCCCTGTCAGACATCTCCAAACCGGGAGTAGAGGTGAGGCGCTCTAATTCTGCATAGAGCTTGGCCAGCGAACCCCTGTACTTTGTCTGGCCAAGACTAACCAGATCGTCTGCAGCTTTGCGGGCCTTCTCTTTGTCTGCAAACCTCGCCTCCAGACCCTGGAAGATGGTCTCTAATCCTGCTGCAACAGCCCAATCTGGTAACTGCTGCTGAGACTTGGTAGCCTCAGAGGTCACCCACTTCAATGATGACCCACCGAACAGGGCCACAGTGGACTGCACCTTGTTAACCTCTGGGCAGATGAATCCCCTCAGATAGGACTTCATTGAAGCGATCCAATCTTACACATCCACTTTGGCGTCATCACCAGTGAATTTGTCAGGTTGCATCATCTTGGGGAAACGTTGTTCCTGCTGGCCTGAGCTGCCAGCACCCAGTCTGAGATCCTCAGGGACAGCCTGTTGCTTATTAGGCGAAGCAAGCTTTCCCTTGGGAGAAGGGGGTGGTGTTGCAGGGGGAGTAGGGACCGATTTAGGTTCGGGTTTGACTGACTGACGAGGAGTAGAGGTAGCTGAGTGGGGAGAGGTAATGAGATCTTGCCTGATTCGATCCAGGGACTCTACAATAGAAGACTGTTTGACTTCAACTGTAGTCAAACGGTCTTCTATTGCAGCAGCCCGGTCCATCCAGGCAGTGAGGGCATCTTTGATTGAAGTGAACCCCAAACGGATCCACTCAGCCAACTTCTTGTTAGTGTCACTGAATCTTTCATCAGATTCAGCGGCCAAGAAATGTTCTGCCAGCATTGCCCGTCTGGCCTCATTCTGAGCCTTTCGGTCTCCTTCATCCTTCTCTTTCCTCAGCTTCTCAATCCTCTTGCGGCTTTCCTCTGCAGCCGCCGCCTCCTTCTCAATCTCCAGCTCAATGGCGGTTTTGGGAACCACAGGATCCTTGCCTTTGTCATTCCCAGAACCGCCAGAGGATGCGCCGTCAGCCATACCCAGTTAATAATTTTTTTTTTTTTCAAATAAAAAATAATAAAATTCGGATTAGAGTTCACACACAGAACAACAATCTAATCAGAATCAGGTTGTACTGTTTACTCAGTTAGAGGGAAGGGTTAGGACAGATAGCAGATTAGTACTTCGTGTCTGTAGGCATTCAGGGAGGTTGCAGACAACGGTCAACAGCAAAACAACATTTGTTCGCTTTTACCGCACGCCCAACCGATCAGAAAAAAAACAATACTTTCAGACCAGATCCCTACCGGATCTTCCCACGAACACCAACACGATTAGCAAGGCAAGAACACCCGAGTCCATACGCAGAAAAAAAAATAATTGCGGCGGGACGCCGTTCGTTTCGCAGAAATAAAAATAAAACCTGTAGTTTGCATGCTGCAAACCAGCAGGTAGACTGTGTGGACTTGATTAGACTGACGACAAAGCATTACTGCGCGGACCGTTCTGACACGACTGACAGACCACTGTTGGACTGACTGCTCTGCACTGACACTAGATCTGACACGGCAGACTATGACAGAACAGATCAAAAGGCAGCACGCAAAACGCAAACACAGCCTGTGCGCAGGCTCAAGACCCACGGTCAACTGGAGGCAAGGTCAGAGGGGGGGTCAAACCGTTGACAACCCACAGACAACACAGACTGACAACACTCACCTACCTCCCGACAGGCCACGGACTGACAGACCCGACAGACCAGTTTTGACAGACTGACGGACTGACATCGGAGGGACAGGTCGCCGGAACGAACTCACTCAATCAAGGTCTTGATTGGAGATTGCCACCGGTCAGCGCCCAAGTTGAATACTCGCCGCAAGTCCCAATCAATTGCCGCAGATTGAATTGTCAGCGTCTCTTCTGCAAAATTTGACCCTCAAGTGGTCGTCCAATATCGGTGGCTGGCCAAGCAGGCTGAGCCTGCCACTTTGAGGGTTGTCGTGCCCTCAGGTCGCCGGCCCACTAATTAGGGTTGACGTCCTAATTAGTGTCGGGGCCAACTCAAGCCGGGAGACCACTTTTTTTTTTTTTTAACTCGCTTTCTCGCCCTTGCGTACCAATCAAGCGACAGTTGTCGCCGCCGACGCTGTTGAAGACTACGGGGCACCGCCCCCAACCGCCAACCGTCGGCCCGACAGATGTCGGCCGCTAATTCGCCCACTGGATGCATGCGGTCGTGGCTCTGATACCAACTGTTATATACCCGATTGAACTTCAATCCACAACGAATTCACACGTTCCCATACACGCATGCAATTTCAGAGTAGACTCGAAGGAGGCAAATCCAC